TTAGATAATCTGGTAGTGGGATGATCCCAATATTCCTGAAGTTTACAGGAATAACAGAAAGATGTTTAACTTGCCCATTTCGGCACAGTTCATAACCTTTCTTATTATTTCATCTTCGCTTGGTATTAATTTATTTTTCCATTTTTGAGAGAAGGCAATCCTCACCACTGTAATTATGTGTAAAATTAAATACTGGATTTCTTTTTTATATTTCACAGTCATTATTGCCAATAGAAAAACTTCTGGTTTCCAATCTATTTTGACTCCTGTTATTGCCTCTAGCCAATTTTTAACCCTTTTCCAATATTTTTTAGCCTCCTCACAAGTCCACCATAAGTGGTAATATGTTCCGTGTATTGATTCACATTTCCAACATTTTGGGGAGATATTTACTGTGATTTTTGCTAACCTTACTGGTGCCAAGTGCCATCTATAAACATTTTGTACTGGTTTTCCTTGTATGCAACCAATAGTGTTATTTTTAAATTTGTCCCTCCAAATTTTCCCATTTGTCTAATTCAATATTATAGCCAAAATTCTGTGCCCATTTTACCATTTGTTCTTTCACGATTTCGTCTTCCATTTTATACTTCAAGAGAAATTGATATATTCTCCCTATCATCTTTCTTTCTGGGCTTTGGATTATTTTATCCAATTCGTGTGGTTCCATTTCGATACCATATAATTTAGTATCATTATTGTGTTTACAAGTAGGTTAGCCAGTCAACTTTCATTTTTTCTCTGCCAATTCTTCAATTGTATTTAAATTTCCCTGTTCGTTAATTAAGTCTCTGTATCTTAACATTTTATTCATATCTGTAAAATTTGGGTGCATCGTCCTTTCTGTCGGGGATAGCCAATTCGGGATATTCACATAGTGGTTTTTTTTAAATTTTGAGCCAGTTTTGTAATAACACATTTCTAATTAGATGTTTTTGAAAGTATTTGTGTGTTTTATTTTTATCATCCCATAGGAATGTATGACAACCAGCTTGCAGATCATGGTCTTCTCAAGATTCTTTTATTCTTTAATTCGATCCAATCCTTCACCCATGTAGTTGTTACTGCTAATGCATATAACTCCCAATTTGGTAGTGCTGGGCCTCCTTTCTCCTTGCTAGCTTGCATTGACTTTAGTTTAATCCTCACTTTTCATCCTTGCCAAATGAACCTATTAGTTATTTTGTTTAGTTCCCGAAAGAAAGCTTTACCAGGATTGATAGGTGCAGCTTGCAACAAAAATAAAATTCTTGGTAAAACATTCATTTTAACAGTGGCTATATATCCCCTTAGTGATAGCTGAATATTTTTCCAGCTTTCTAAATCTTTCTTTATTTCTGCCACTAGTTTATTATAATTGTCGTCTTTAATTGTAGAACATTTTGCTGACACCCAGATCCTCAAGTATTTCACTTTTTTAGTTATTCGCATTTTAGTTNAAGTTTTTATAGGCAGTCTCTTTTTAAAACAGTAAAAGTTCCTCACCAGCTGGAAACACTTTTTCTTTCTGTATCCTTCCGTTTTGGAGTCACCCCGACTTTGTAAGCCTTGGCTGGATTTTTTGTCGCCGGCTTGAAGAACTTCTCTTGCTTCTTTCAGGGATTTTGCGATATCCCTGAGGTCAGCAAGACATATTCTTACTGTTCCCCGTCTCTTCGGGACGGTTTAGGTCTGATTGGACCACCCAGAGACAAAAGTATTGGCTAAGGTCTCAGAGCATTGAGACCGCACAACCATCTCGTCGTGACGTTGGCTCCTTCCCCCCGGGCTATTTTTTCTTTTTGTGTGAAGAGTCAAAGAATGAAATGTGCTTTCTCTCTAATGCCCATCAGTTTCTTGGCATCTCCTCCTATTAGTGGACAAATAGTTTCCTTGACTTTTTCTTGTTTTTTCCAACTTGAAAGAAACCTGTTTTATTGTTTTTGACATTTGTTGCAAGTCTTAGTTCATTCTGAGTCAAAATCTATTTTGAGGCCTGAACAATTTATGTAATTTGTAATTACTATGTTGATGTTGCTTTTAATATTTGAGATAAATTATATAAGTAGCGTGACTCTTAAATGTAAGAATCAAGAGAGAAGCCAAAGTACCAGATAAATATTTAAAAACAAAGTGCATGGAGTCTCTTCACACTGATAATTACAATAAAGCTTTTTTATTGGGGAAAAAAAAGAAAATTTCAAAACAGCATGTTGATATGAAATAATATGAAACAATACTTGGAACAAAATCATATGCTTCCTCTGATATGAACAAGTCTTTGTGCCATTGGGAGCCCCAGTAGAGATGGAAATATTTCAGTTATCAATAATATTTATTTATTGAATAAGCAAAATTACTGCACATAGTATTTTTCCCAAATTTATAGAACTTTGGGGTTCTACACATATGAATTCTATAGTATAGTTCTATAATAAAAATGAGAATTGTATATTTAGTCAGTTTAATCAACATGTTTAATCAAGACTTGCTGCATTACTTGATCAAATAAGAAAAAAATGCTTACCCCAATGCCACCACATGGAAGCCTGACAAACAGTGATGTCAGAGAGCCTGGAGGAATCAGAGTAGAGTAAAATATTGTTAAAATTATAAAATACATGTGATTTGTCATCAAAACTAATAGTATAGACCTATCCATTCCTACAGTAATATTAGATGCTGAATGTGACACTGATGATCTCAGTCTCTAAACTTGACTCAGCTGCATCCTTTCTGGAGCAAGACTATAGAGAATTTGGATTGGGTCTTTAATGCCAAGCACCAAAAGTAGAGACAGAAACAGGTTTTATTTAAACTCTTAAGAAAAGATTGAGGGTTTTTTAAATATTTGATATTGATATTTTAAAATCAACTTGCTCATTTGTCTACAATCTTCTCCTCATGAATAAATCAGCTTAAAAACTCAGTTGGCCAATTGATATGGTTAACAATATCATATTCCTAAGGAAAAGGATATAAAATATTGCATGAAGAAGCATCCCACCTGCAGGATTGGTACAAAAGGAAACAATCCCTTTTGAATATTCCTTCAGTGACAAGTGGCAAGGGCTTAGATGCTGGACTTTCAGTGAGATGCAAGGAATGTTAGGGGAAACTTCTCTAGGTGGTGTTGGAGCCATTCTATAAGTACTGTGAAGTAAATGTGATAAGTAAAGATTTGCTCTCAAAAGTGCCAATTTAAACATCTTTCTGTTATTCCTGTAAACTTCAGGAATATTGGGATCATCCCACTACCAGATTATCTAATTTAAGCATAATATTTTCTTCAATAAAGGAAGAAAATACTCTCCCAAATGTTGTATCCTGTAATTAGATGGAGGAAGTACACTAGTAACACTAGTTTAGGAGAATTGGTTCTCTTTAATTAGGTATGCCATCAACTTTATTTATTCCTATTTAGAACAGGAATTAGCAGATAGGAAAATAATTCAGTAGGTAAATTCTTTTTAAAAAAAATTTATATATGTATTTTATTTATTTACAAACATACAAAATACACACAGACAAAACTTAGACGTACACTACATTTACACAATACAGTACGAGCAGGAACTTCCTGTTCTTTCTAATAGCAATTACCAATTCTCCTTATGTTATTAATGCATTTCACTATTTTTAACCCTCTTATTTTACTCATGTATCTGCTATATTAGGTGATTAGTACATTTAAACTCTCTTGATTGCTAATTCTGTTAATTCTCCTTAACTACTATCTTTGGGTTTTATTGACTTCCTTCATTGATCCTTGTTTCTTTCCTCCATCTACCTATACCATTTATCCCATATCTGGTAATATTCTGCTTCTTCTTTTTCCTGGATTTTTTTGTTAACTTGTCCATTTCGGCACAGTCCATAACCTTTCTTATTATTTCATCTTCGCTTGGTATTAATTTATTTTTCCATTTTTGAGAGAATTTACCAACAAACA